AATTTGATAGAAGTGCCACAGATATGCAAGAATCTCAAAAACAGTTACTCAAAACCTAATAGGTTTGAAAAAGTAGAAGCTAGGCTACAAATAGACTGTCAATAAAAGAAAATTAAGAAGTGAAAGAAACAAGCCTAAGGGAATTTTGAAATTGCAAAGAGGAAAGAAGGGCAAATAACAGGTAAAACTAAAGAATGTATTATTATTTTACAAAAAGGGATTGACTGTCATGCAACTATAAAAACCTTCAGACAAACTGGCAAAACTTCATATTGGATACTTTATTATATATTTCATACTGTATTTGAAACATCTTCATCCTTGATGATGAAGGTGAAATGCTACTGTATTTTTTGCTTGACACTGTAAGTGCATTTTTATCAAGAGCAGACTGAGGGATGTTGACAATCTATTCAACTATCAATTGGTTTCCAATTCCTTTATTTTCAGTCTTCTGTTTCTTCTCAGTGTTATTCAGAGTTCATAGAATGACACTATCATGTCTATTTTCTGTTTCAGGTACAGATGAGTCTTTCTTCTGTTCTTTCTTCTGTAATTCTTTTTTCCCTGTTGTTATTCCCAAACCTATTGCTGACAAACTTATTTTCAGTCTGGAGGGCTCATATGAAACTTATTATCAGAAGTATCTTACTCTTTGTTTGAGACATGGGTGTTGAGCAGCTGCCATTGTACAGCTAGAATTGTAATGTGGAAGCATAAACGGCACCACGAAAGCCCAATTAATTTTATTAAAGGAACAAAAATGTTACTTAAAAGGTTTTAATAGCCTAACAACAGCAATTGGCAAGAATTAACTTTTTTTGTAACATGTTATGTGCACAATGTTATTGATCTCTCTCAGAAATAAAGAGTGCAAATATAATGCAACTTTTTGCTATTTAGTTGAAGACTTGTATCTTTATATATACACATATGTGGAATTAGCATGCAAGTCAATTAACAAATATTAACAACTGCTCACGCAGTGTATCTTATGCTCACAGCTTGGCTATCATAGACACTTTTTAGATCCTGACTTAGACACTCCATTTAGGATCAGAAGAATGACTTTCTGCAGGTGTTTACCATCACAGAGAGACTGCAGAATGACCTTGGTGACAAGGTCAGACTGGACACCAAACTTGTACATAGATCCACTGAAAAGCAAATTGATCCACTAGTGTTCTGCGACTTAAAAAGACATCTCATTGAGTTAATACTTGATCAGAAAGAAGCATTACCTTTTACCATATGATTATGCTTTTATGCAGATAAACCAGATATTTGTAGTCTGATATTTTATTTTCCATATTGCTACCGCTAGACTGCAAGGATTAAGGGGGACTGTAAGAGTACTTTAAACCTCCAGGTTAGTCCACATTCCAGAAATATGGATTTTGGCTGTGCAGAAAGTAGCAGTAATCTGCTGGGTGGTTTCCACCCAGCAACACACTTCTTGCAGTTTCTTTTCCTCAGAGATAGCACAAGGGAAGTCTGATGTATAAACTTCTTACAAGCCACTCAGAAGAAACATCACAGAAAACAGGTTGGCATGTGATAACTTTCTTTAATATGTATCATCTCATTTTACATTATAATACTACAAACAAATTTTCTTTGAAACAAGTCTACAGAAATCTTCATTAATGGATCCTGAAAATATTTCAGAGAGATACTTAATGCTAAAGTTATATTTTTCATAAGATTTACATAATGCTTCTCCTGATAGTAAGAGGATCTATTGAACATCTTTACCACAATATCAAAAACTGACCAATCATTCAGGTGAGGGAGCATATATTGAAAAGCTCAACTCATTCCAGCATTCACTCATCTTCTTTGGGATTTGAGGTGCCATACAACAGCTGCCATGAGGTGGGTGGTCCATAGAAGGACACTTTGTTGGCTTGCTGTTCTGTTTGCTTTAAACAGCAGACTGAACTCTACTTTGAAGATGAAGCTTCAAAATTCCCCTCACTAGCACACCAATTTTTAATTCCTGAACACATACCCTGTGGGGTTAGCACACAGATAGAGAAAGTTTTTGGTGCAGTTGTAGACTCTGCTGAAGTTAATGGATGCTGCTCTGTAACATCCTGTCAAAGCCTGATTACCCACAGTGTATACTGATGCAGCAAGTACTGTATTTCTGCCTTTTATTCATATCAATCTCTTTTGGTTCCCCTATTTTTAAACAGACTTTTAAATAAATGTGTAGCTGATATGTGCTGTGACACTTATTAGCCACAGAATCATAGAATACGCTGAGCTGGAAGGGACCCATCAGGATCATCAAGTCCAACTCCTGGCCCTGCACAGAACAGCCCAAGAGTCACACCATGTGCCTGAGAGCATTGTCCAAATGCTTCTTGAACTCTGTCAGGCTGTGACCACTTCCCTGGGGAGCCTGCTCCAGTGCCCAACCACCCTCTGGGTAAAGAACCTTTTCCTGGTATCCAACCTAAACCACTCTCACCTCAGCTTTATGCCTTTTCCTCGAGTCCTGTCACTGGTCACCAGAGAGAAGAGATCAGTACCTGCCCCTCTGCTTCCCCTCACAAGGAAGTTGTAACTGCACTGGGGTCTCCCCTCAGTCTCCTCTTCTCCAGGCTGAATAGACAAAGTGACCTGAGGTGCTCCTCACATGGCTGCCTCTAAAGACCCTTCATCATCTTTGTTGCCCTCCTTTGGACACTCTCTACTTTAATACTTTAATGTCTTTTTTATATTGGGGTACCCCAAACTGCCCCTGGCACTCGAGGTGAGGCTGCCCCAGCGCAGGGCAGAGCAGAGCAGAACAATTCCCTCCCTTGCCCAGCTGGCCATGCTGTGCCTGATGCACCCCAGGACGTGCTTGGCCTTCCTGGCTGCCAGGACGTGGTAGTAAGCAAGTCTCCATTGTGAATAGACTTCTGACATTAATTCTGATTCCCCTTCAGATCTTTTCATCTTATTAAATGCAAAACACTCAACTCTGACCAAACTCTAGGTAACAAGTAAATTCTGTTTCTGTAATTTCTGTGTGCTTCAAGGAAAAGATAAGTGCTTGAGTACATGTACAGGTAGGAAGAACTAGACCTGGATACAGTGCTTTGTCTGTATTAAGTAGTTTTCAAAATTCACTATTTTTGATGTATTTATAGAACTACATTACCTCCCCTGTTTTAATGTCCTAGCTATGTATAATTACTAAAAAACCCATCCAAATCACATTTTAAAACACATCAAAAGAAATTTTTCAAAATTCTTTAAAATACAATTTCTTCTTCCCTGAAATTAAAAATAACTAATTTAAACTCCATCCCAATATATGTTTTCCTTCACTTGTTGGCTTTAAATAAATATATATTAACATGTACAAAACCAAGAAATTAAATGCACATATTTCACCAAGATGCATCTAAATCCATGTAGAACTGGAAAAAATGGGAATAATAACAGTGCCCTTTCGTAATCTAATATCAGCAAAGAACATCTATTCTCTCCATTGCTAGAGAAAGTCAGATGTAGTGATCATGTAAAAATAATTCAAAGCAAAGTTCTGTTTGGCCTGTGAAAATGACACATAAATTCTTTACGCATGGTCATACTGGGATTGAATTAAAGCCAAACAAGCATCTGATTCTTGCTTTGAATACTGGTTGATTGACTGCTGTTGTAAACCATTTAATGGGACTCACATTCAAAACACTGCTGAAAAACTGTCTCATTTTAGCAATCTGAGATGTCAGTAACAGGACAAGTTCAAGAAGACAGATTTAAATAAATGTTTGGGAAAAATATATCTACCAAATATACTACTTGGTGGATTCTTTTTTTGTAATTAGTTATATACCAAATTCCTTAATCATATTCCAGAATAGTCTAAAGAATATTTCTAAATAGCAGAGCCTCAATTTCACACAAATAAAAAATTTTATACCATTCTAAATGATCTTGTAATTTTTCTTTCTCAGTCATTTGGATGCATATAAATAATATTTAAATGCATAAACATTTACAGAAGACATATATATAGTTACAAACACAAAGATAAACATAACTATGAGACATACATAACCCAAGGTAATAAATGTGATAAGACAGATACATAGATAAATAAATATGTATAAATGTATCTCATATTGATTTTGTCTGATCTGGATTTTGCAATAGTTTCGCCACATCCTATACTTTTTTTCCTCTGTACTGCTTCAGATTTTTTGGTAACAACTTAGCCAAGTTAAATAAAGGTGACCCTAAGCACAAACAAAACATTACCAGCAGCTAGAATGTGAGAGGTGCCTGGCATGCTTAAGTATTTAATTAAAATCCTCAGAAGAATCCTCAAGACCAGTAAGCACTTCCAGCAGCAATGCTGCAGCACAAAGAAGTCACCACAAGGGAGAAACCAAATTGTCACCAAAGCCCTACATGTAGTCCTGAAACCAGCACTAACCTCTAACAGTGGTATTTCTGTTCAGACAAAGCCTGAAGACATAATTCTGATTTCTAGCACTGTAATAACCTAGCGAGGTGTCTGTACAATGTTTAAAGTCTAATTCTGAAGACTTATTATCAAATCTGTGGTACCACTGCAATTCTCTCTGTAAATGAATGCAGTACATGAAAGTAAGGTCACATCTCTGTCATACCAGAGACATTTCACTTAGCTTTAATCATCTATAAGTACTGTGTCTAATCTGACTTAGTCACACAGCCTGTCTTTAAAGTCAACAGAGAGATGAGCAGCTCCAGGGAGTGATACATCTCACTTATCTTAAACACTCATTTTAGGATGAGAAATGGAATGGGATTGTGGAGATGGATAATTGAACATAAACTTTAGCTGTCAGAGAGAACCACTGCACAGAGTTCCTGCAGAGCCAAGGATGAGGGAGAGATTTCTGTCAGACTCCATGGATCTTACAAGAATCAACTAACACACTCCAGAAAAAATGGCTTTTTGCACATATAACTCAGATATGCAACTGACGAGAAGAAGATTATTACGTACTTACCAAAAACAATGGAGGACTCACAGTAGTAGTAACCATTTGGCTGCTTTTTTTTAAACATGGAGCAAAGATCAAAGCGGTGCAAGATCTCATCTCCAAAATAATGGTTTTTGAAATCATCATACAGACTAGAGTCAATTTTTTTCACCTTTAAAAAGAAACATAAAATTCAGTTAGGCATTCTACTTGGACACTGAATTTTTATATTTAATTCCTATAGTTTTCATTTTAACCGTAAATAGTTAGTATGGAAAACTACTTCAAGATGCAAAAAAAAATAGAAATAATCATATGCCAAATCTTCCGTTTTAGGGAAGAACTGTCTACTGCAGAAAATAACAATACAATAAAAGTGTCATTAGTCCTCCTTTCTAGCACTTCCTTTTCAGTCTTGCAGGAAACAAATAGACATACATAATGCTACAACTGCTTTAACTTCCAATGGTTTGCAACAGTGTTCATGGAACATGCAACTGGAAATTATTCTTGCTGTCATCACTGGGCATGCTGCTACAAGGAACAATCTCAAATGGTCATAAAGGGTAGTTTTCTGAGTCATTAAAATCAACCCACAGGAAAAAACAGTTGAATTTTACTAGCACTAGACTTCTTTTATTTCAGTAAATCTAAAAACTTTCTGTGATTTATAATATTGGAATCATTGGCAGTTTTGCATATATGAAGCAGAATATAATAAATATTCTATGAGGCTATTTTCAGAAAACATAATTTCAGTAGTTATTTTAAGAATTATGGGGTCCTCATTGCATTGCATTGTCAATAAAAATATATGATCTCCATAGAAATTCAGTATTTTCTCCTTCAATCTACCGCCCAATAATGCTGTTTGCTATTTAAATATCATTATTCTATGCTAAGGAATATTAGGAGCTTTTAGCAGCTTCAGCCCCTACTGGTTGTTCCCTACTGCCTGGCTGCTGGAGTCCAGTCCAGCATGCGGGACCCTCAGTCTTTGATGGATGTACCTGCTGCTTTCATGTCCCAGAGACACATACCACAGCTGAAAGAACATGGACATGGTTGGCTAAATGGATGTCACTGCCTTCATCAGCACCTGCACATGGGGCTCACAGGAGACACAAGTGCAGGTCCTTCTGGCAGGGACAGAAGGTCAGCAGTGTAGGATGGACATGACTTTCTCTCCATGTACATGTTTGTGCATTCCTGAAACACCATCATGGCCCCTCTGTTCCCCAGTACCCCTGCCCAAATTGCTGGCCTCTTACTGAGCCCACAGGTCTCCCACTTGCTGGCTGGTCCAGCTTGAGGTTTGGCAGTGAACACCTGCACTCCCCATACACAGTTTGGCAATCAGTTGGACAGGTGTCCCCATTAGCCTCATTTTAACCAGGGCTGGCTGCTCTGGCAGCCTGCACCTTCCCCTCCTCTGTTGTGCTCTTCTCCAACCTCTCCCCCGGCACACCCCCATGCATTTGCACAGTCAACCTGCCAACATACCGGACCCTCGGGTTTACATCCCCAACAACTGCAAAGTCCTGGTTTGCCTGCAGTTTCTTGGCAACTCATCAGTGTGAAAAGTAAAGTCTGTTTTAGCGAAGGTCAAACGTCTTTCCATTTCCTTAATCTCTGAAATTATGACATCTAGTGGTGGATGGTTTTCATTTCAGGAAATAGAAATTTGGGAGTCTACATCTCCCTGGAAGTCTACATTTATTCCATCCTCACAGCAATTACTTAATATTTTATATTCTATGGCTAGACTAGTCCTTATGTACTAAGGTTGTTCTGTCATTAAATCAGCATTCCTTACTTTTTGGCTGACAGTTCTAGGAAATACAGTTAGACATCAATTAGTAATAAAAAAATACATTTTCTGCCAGAACACTTGTCAAAATGTGAAGCCTTGAGTTCTTCTGAAATGAGATGATAAAAATCACAACTTCACGCTCCAATAAAAAAAATAACATTTACAAGAGATTGGGATTTTGCTTGTCAAATACAGGTTGCTAAGGTGTTAATCAAATGTTGAAGGCTAAGGAATTGAGCTGTGCTTGTGATGCACCACTGAAAGGTATTTGGAAAAACAACCATGGGAAAACCATGGTATTTTTAGTAACTGGAACAATTTCTGGAGTGCTGCTTGCAGTGAGATGTGAAAGGATAAAGCAATGCAGACAAATGGAAAGGTCATGGCTCATTTCTTAACTGAAAGGGTCTGGAGCAGTAGAGATGCAAGAGAAAAGCTGTTACCACATGGGAACAGTACAGATGCTGATAATAAAATAAGCTATGATCGAGGAGGTGAGAAACAAGAGTACTTGAGAGGACACTGAAGCATTTGGTGCTGGAAGGGGAAGGAGGAAAGACATCAGCCTCTCGAGGAAGCACTGTGAAGGATGATGCCTGTGAAGGACACGGCTGAGTAAGGCGGGACTGCCAGAGCGCCAGGAGAATGCCGCTGGCAGCCCTGCAATGTCTGGTTTTTCTGCCCATGTCTCTGGGAAGGTGCAGCCCGCTATCCCAGCAGTTCAACCCCATGCAGGCCCCGTAGCTCCTGCCACCGTCAGCCTCGGGACCAGGAGCGGGAAGGCTCCAGCGGTGACAGCGCAGGTAGCAGAGCCGCAAGCCCCCCCAGGCTCCGTGTGGCAGACCACAGCCCAGCACAGCGCCGAGGCGCCCCTCTGGGCGGGCCTGCAGGCGGCCCCGGGCAGGCGGGACGGGCCCGCGGCGGGCGCCCCCGGCCGCAGAGGCGGCTCCGGCCCCTGAGGGGCCCGCCCGACAGAGCGCCCGGCTCCGCCCGGAGAGCAGGGAAAGGGGACAGCACCGCGGCTTCGGGCTGCAGGGAGGCGCATTGGGTCTAATGGTGACGCTGGGACGAGCTGCCCGGCCGTGCTGAGGAGGGTGAGTAGCGAGCGAAGTGGGGGAGGTCTGGAAGTGGGAGAGGATTGGAAGTGAGATGCTGACAGGGACTGGTACGTCCGATTCCCTTATGTGCTTCTCCAGGAGCTGTCGCTGTGTGATGGTGCAGCATAAACATGGGGCTGCGACCCTGAAATAATGGCCAGGCTCTGGGGCTGCACTGCTGGGAGGAGCCATGGTCAGCGCAGGTGTGTGTCACGAACCTCTGAGAGAAGATGATTTTGTGCATGGATATACATGTCCATGCATGTTACTGTATTTATGGGTACTTGGGTGTACTAGGTACACCTATATTAAAAAAATATAAAGGACACAAAGGAAAACTGTAATACTATTGCTGGTAGTTAACTCTGTTACTCCTTCCTTGGAAGCGGATGGTGGCTGTAGTTACTGGCTGTGTCTTTTCACTTGAACATCTATAGTTAATTCCTGGTAACATCTAAGATTCTCCAGTGATGGAAGACTGACTTCCTGTTAACTTCCTGTTGTCATTTAAAGTTGCTTCTCAAGACGTTTTGGATGAGTTGTGAATAAAAATACCTCTTGCCAACAGATGAGTGCCACATCAGCCACAAGCTGTGCCTTGCCACCACCACTTGAGCCCGAGCAAGAGGAGCAAGAGAGCTCGGAGACACATATGTCTGTTCTGTGGTATGCAGGGCAGCTGGCAATTACTTACTATGATACAGAAGATTGCTCAGTCTACTTCATGCCTGACATACCTGATAATGAAGACCTCAAGCTACTGCAAAAAGTGATTGGGGAACTTAACCCTCAATGCATAGTGACCAGTGCAAAACAGGACCAGAATATTGCCAAATTCCTGACCAACCTTACAGCTACTTCTGGTGATAAAGACATAGGAAAACCAGAAATTGTCCTGTTTCCCAACATAGATTTTGGTCTAGAAGTCAGCAAGCAACGGATCCTGTCTAGGCAATTTCCATTTATCCCATCCCATATGACTGCTACAGACAAAATTCTCTATTTGTCCTCAATCATCCCTTTTGAGAGTCCACTCATGATACGAGCCTTAGGGGGCCTCCTTAAGTTTCTAGACAGAAGAAGGGTTGGAGTTGAACTCGAAGACAGCAGTATAGCAGTTCCTATTTTGGCCTTTAAAAAATTTGTGCTGTCAGATACTGTGAATCTGGACCAAGACACTTACTGTGTCCTGCAGATATTTAAAAGTGATATCCATCCTTCTGTGTACAAGCTATCCAGTGGACTTAAAGAAGGATTTAGCTTATTTGGAATTTTAAACCGCTGCAGATGCAAATGGGGAGAAAAACTGCTGAGGTTGTGGCTCACACGACCTACCCGGAACGTTACAGAGCTGAACAAACGGCTGGATGTTATCAACTTCTTCCTGCTAGCTCAGAATCATGAAACAGTCCTCACTCTTCAAAACTGCCTCAAGAATATTAAAAATGTGCCTCTTATTTTAAAGAGAATGACTCTTTCCAACACAAAAGTTAGGGACTGGCAAGCACTGTATAAGACAGCATACAATGCAGTGTGCCTTAGAGACACATGTCGTTCTCTGCCTAACACTATTGAACTTTTTCAGACTATTTCACGTGTTTTCACTGATGATCTGCACTATATTGCTAACCTGATCAGCAAAGTGGTAGACTTTGAAGGCAGCCTCTCAGAGAACCGCTTCACTATTAGACCCAATGTAGATGCCGCAATTGATGAGAAGAAACGAAAGCTGATGGGACTCCCAGACTTCCTTACAGAAGTGGCACAAAAAGAACTGGAGGCTTTGGACAATCATATTCCCGCCTGTTCTGTGATCTACATTCCTTTGATCGGGTTCCTTCTCTCCATTCCACGCCTACCAAATATGGTGGATAAGACTGACTTTGAAATTGAAGGCTTGGACTTCATGTTCCTGTCAGAGGATAAGCTGCACTACAGAAGTGCCCGGACCAAGGAGTTAGACAGCCTGCTGGGTGACTTGCACAGTGAGATCAGAGACCAGGAAGCACTCATCATGCACCAGCTGCAGACAAAGATCTTGGAGAAGTCTGAAGTACTTAACAGCGTGATTGAGTACACTGCACACCTGGATGTGCTGCTAGCCTTGGCAGCGATGGCCCGAGAGAATGCCTATTGTCGACCTCGCTTTACTCACCGCCATGGCTTCCACATCAAGGACGGAAGGCATCCACTCATGGAACTATGTGCAAAGACTTTCGTGGCCAATCCTGTGGACAGTGGTGAGGCTACCAGACGAATAAAGATCATCACAGGGCCCAACTCCTCTGGAAAGAGTGTTTACTTAAAGCAAGTAGGTCTTATAGTGTTCATGGCTCTAATCGGCAGTTATGTCCCTGCAACAGAGGCAGAGATTGGAGTAATTGATGGGATTTACACAAGAATCCACAGCAGGGAATCAGTTTCTGTAGGGCTCTCCACGTTCATGATTGATCTTAACCAGGTTGCCAAGGCTGTAAACAATGCCACAGAGAGGTCCCTGGTACTTATTGATGAGTTTGGTAAAGGCACCAACACACTGGATGGCCTGTCCCTTCTGGCTGCTGTCCTGAGGTACTGGATCAGACAAGGAACACAGTGTCCACAGGTCTTTGTCTCCACTAATTTTCACAGTTTAATGCAGCTAGAACTCCTGCCTGACACACCTCTTCTGGAGTACCTGACCATGGAGACCCATCAGGATGGAGAGGAATTGATATTTTTCTATCAGATCAAACAGGGCATGTCCACCATTAGTCATGCTGCCAATATCGCTGCATTAGCGGGAATGCCAGCGAAAATTATTGATAGAGGAGTGGAAGTATCAGAACTGATTCGCAACGGAAAACCTATCAAACGTCTCGATAATCCTTCAAAATGTGATAGGATGGAAAAATGCAAGTCTGTTGTAGAAAAGTTTCTTTGCATAGACCTTGACGATCCCCAAGTGGACTTGGAAGAGTTCATGTCTAAAGAGGTGTTGCCTTCTGCAGCCTCAGTCCTGTAGCAAGGGTATGTGTAAACACATAGACTGCATCATATCTACCATGGACAGTCCGGTACTTCAAAGAATGATCACTATGACATGACACCTCACAGGACATTTAGCTTGTAACAAACTGTCTGCAGTTATGTCCTTCCTCCTTCTTCTTGTTTAAATCAAGTACTTACATATCCCTGCAATATGGTGTATCATATGAGTGTATGAAGAGGAAGAATTTTAAGAACCTCCTCCAGCTGTTGGGTCACTCATTTTGTGCATTTTCTGTCCCTGTTGCTGGAACCTCAGATTAATCACAATCAGCAGAAAAATCACAACACATTTCTGCTGATCTTAGAAGACTACTAAAGGAACATGTTTATTGTTTCATATTGTGCCAAAGTGATGGTTTCTGCCATTTTAGGATCAGCATAAAAGATTCCAAATAAATACATGGCTCAGACTCTTGTACCAACAATTAACAGTTGTCACAATACAAACCACTGACACAGAGGCTGGCATAAGTAGCAATGCAGAGGGATTTAATGGCTCTGTAGCTTTTCTTACACCACCTTTTCATGCCAGAGATCCCAGGAGTTAGTTATAAAAAGAATGTTGGTGGTCATATTCTATGGGGACTGATAAATAGAAGTACATTAGTTTTACTGAGAACTATTATCTTCTTTAAGGTCCTGTATGATACAGTTGTATCATGCATTCTATGTGTCTATGCCACATGGGTATAAATAAAGGCAAAATGACAAATCTAGTAATGTAAGAGAGAAATTTCTATTCTATTTTCAATTATTAACATTTGAGGATTAACACCACAAAGGGAGGATTCCCTTTCACTTCTCTTGTCATGCAGAGGATCTTTACTGAATATAGTATTTTATGTATGCACATGCAAGAAAAGTTCATTAACAAATTTATGATGCAAGAGCCATATCTAAACACTATCAAAGCAATAACCTCTCCTGCAGCCAGGCAAGTGCCTGATATTCCTCATGTAAATAAGACAGAGGAGACATTAGATAGCTTATTGTCTGCCAAAACTTGCTCTAACCACTTACATTATGGCAAATAAAAGACATACTATATCTCTCATCTATATGTCATTTCAAGAAGCCAAAAATATTAATGTCACATAAACTGAGAGAAAATTTACATTAAAAAAAAATTAAATCCCTTCGTAATTATCAGTGTTGAACATGTTATCTGGTATATGTAGCTGAAGATAGCAAAAAGATGAGTATCAGCATACATCAAAAAGATGTATAATTAGAGACACTGTTTTGGGTTTGTTTCAGTGTGGAATTTCCTGCTTGATGATAAAGGAAACTATAATTATTACCAAATAAATACCTTATGCTATTTATGTATGAAACTGGAAAGTGACAGAAGTTTAATATAATTTATATTTAAAAATACAATAATAAATTACTGAATTGTATATTTAATGCTATTTCCAGTGCAATCATAACAATACTGTCTGCATAATATCTGGTATCATGATGTTACCATTGAAGTGAATGGCAGCACTGGATCAGGCCTTGAACAGGCTCCTGCAATACTCAGAAGTGTTGCAAATACAAATATTTTTCTCAATAATATATTCCCTTTTACTACCTATACATGCAACATCTTAAAGATACACCGTACAAAAGAATATAATATACAAAAGATTCATGACTTATCATTTTGGCATTTCTTGTTGTCTACCACTGTCTAGGCTAGGGATATACTCTGCACTAATTAAGTAGATACCATCAGAGCAATTTAGCTGTCAGTCATCTTCTACTTATGAAATTTATTTCACAGCATTTGCAGTTTTGGCAGTATTAAGTATCAAAGGACCTTCAAACGTCCTACAGCATTTATGAAGTGCCTCACAACACACCCTGAAAGAAACAGGATTGTGAAAACATTATCTTCAAATGCAAAACTCCAGTTGCTTCTTTTATTGTGCTTCATTAAGTTCTTTGCATAGAAGATAGTGATGCTAACCCAGGATTCTTCTCATTCAAATTATTCTGGCAATAGCTGAACATGTGCAAGTAAATTATATACCTTTGTCACCTTCTACAAGGACATCTAGGAGCACACTATACCTCCTGTTTTTGGGGAAGTGTTCAGCGGCCCATCTGATCTGAGAAATGTCCAACTAAGCATGAAGAATGAGTTGGTCCCATTTCTGAATAGGTAAATAAGTCCTTTAATTTGAGAAGCTGAAGGGGGTACAGTAAACCAGATAGCTCTTTTCTAATCTACTTTATTTCACACTTTCATCCTTTATTAATATCTTTTTCCAAGTTTTTTAGATTTACCATTGTTAGCTTAATTATGTGTCTTCAAAGTGAAAACCTTATTTCTTGAGATCTTTAATTCTGAATTCTCAAACTCTTTGCTTTGTAAACATAATTTTTAACTTTGGGAAAGTTAAAATCTCTACAGAATACATGCATTTCAAAATGATTGCAGATATATTAAGGTTTAAAAAACAGATTTGTTTTCCCCCAAAATGTAACTTTGGTGGAATTTAGATGTCATTGAGAAGAGCTATTATTTCAAATAAGGAAGCTTACATTTAAAAAAAATTAATATAGTTATATAAAGATATGGCTGAGAACTATACTCAACCACTTCAGTACTATTTGCTCTTTTATAAGCTTGCTCATGTAACCTTCATCCACTTCCCTTTTCTTGCTTTTCATATTGCTGTATGACCTGAAAATGCAATTAGACATCATATTAAAATGTACTGCCAAATAATTACTCCTTTTATGATACGTATTTTTATTTACTGTTTTCTGTAAGTGCATGAAACTATCTAACTAAATGCAGGAACACAATGAAAGAAAAAACTGTAGTAAAGACTGATGTTTATACCTCACACTGAATTGACAGAAAAATGTACAGATTTTTAATACATAGTATCTTTCTATGCAGCAGATCATATGCATTATCCAGCATTACGGAAGGCTCAGGAAGATGATTTGGAATGACATTGACCTGGTTCTGTCACCAGCAGTGAATATCAGAACACAGAAAGGATGTATCCTGGCTAGTATTTCATGGAAGGTAGATAAATGCAAATGAAACAACCAACCAGCCAAAAACCAGTAAAAATACAGAATAGCAAAAATTCCACTCTGATTGTCTCAGATGTTTTAACCAGTTAAATCACTGAAGAGCTGATATTCTAGAAGATCTGTGGATTTTTAAAATTAATATTTTAAAAACCCAACTGACATTTCAAGCAAAAGCTTCTGTGAGTTTACAAATTTAATATTTATCATATACCACCTGCATCCAAAGGCTAAGTCTATTTCTATTTCAGAAAAGTATGCATACCCTCAAATTTTCTTGATGTATCTCAATTATCACTACCTTCTCTCAACTGATTTCAAAATACTACTTAATTAAAACATGCACCTTCAGCATTTTTAGACATATTTCTAATTAAAATTGAAAGCTTAATTATTAACTTTAACCCATTATTGAGGAAAAATTAGCTTAAGAGATTAGTTTTATGTACTTTAATTCTTATTTAAAATATTTTTTCTGAAAATTATTTTACTAGTCAATGTTAAAGAATCACATAAAATATTCTACACAATGTCAATAAAAAACGTATGGACGTATACCTTGTGTTATGTAATACAGTACTACAGTTAAATTAGTATGAAAAAAAAAAAAAGGTACACTAGTATTGCTTCTACACATTTTTATCACAGTTATATCCTATCTTCATGTATTTGTGTATTTTGTCAAAAAAACCCTAATAGGCAAGAAATAACTGCCTGCAAGAGAGAATGTAGAAGATATATCAAATTATATTATATATATTTATTAATATAGTTTTTCCTCATTACTCTGAAATTCACCAAACCATATTCAGTGGGGAACTAACAGTCTGCCTACTATGCATAATCCAAACAGAAATTCTACTGTTTATTTGCACATTTTCTCCTATACAGTAGCAAAACTCAACAAACAAACTGCATGCATACAATCTACCACCTAATGAGAGTTCTGCAACTCTGAACAAGTACTTTTATCCTTTGGTCTTGTCTAATTTCCCAGCAGAAAATAGACCATGATATTACTGCACCGAGAATATCAAGAGTGGTAAATTACAGTACAGGACTGTTTAAACAGTAGATACATTAATTATTTCTTTAAAAGACAAGTATTAAACTCTAACCTCTTCAGCTGGTTCAAAGTAGCAAATATGATGCTACAGCATAAACAACACTGTCCATCTCCAAATTAAACTTCCTAGATTGCTGCTGAGCTATGTCAAATGTGAGCTTACCTGCTTACGGAGCTCTGTTGATTTTGTCAACTTCATGAAGGTGAGATGTGGTTTAAAAGCTCTTTCTTCTCCTGCCATGATACCCTTTTCTTGAAATATCTTTTTCATAGTCTCTGACAGGAGAAGAAAATTGCATAAATACAAAGGTATTACATACTGTAATGCTTAAAATGTGCTTTCAAATGTAATTTTTAGTCATGGGTTCTTCACATAAAAGAAACAAGATGATTAGTACAAAAAGGCAGGGAGACTAATACTTAATTTCAAAGGTACATATTCTTCCTTCAGAGGTCTATACTATTTCCCATGAAAATTGATATAATATTTCATGTGAAACATTTGCAGTTAATATCAGTTAAATAATGGCAATTAGAAAGCTGCTCATGCTGTCTGATTTTGCTATCAAAATAGAGACTCAACATTAGCACTGTTCAGCAGTCACTCTCACTAGAAGTGTGGGAATCTTCAGGAAAACTCTATAACAGAATTCTCAATTCAAAACCAGTATTCTGTGGTGAATTCTATGATCTGTATTTGGGTAATCTCCCACTCAGACCAAAGCAAATTTGGAAGCCAAAGTTCTAAGTTTTGGCACTGGATTTACATGCCAGTATTAGAGAACATATTAGGTGTGCTGATGATTTTTACTTGGGTTTTAAAGCTTAACTGTTGCCTTCTGAGCTAATTTCCTACTTTTAATGTACTTTTCCTACTTTTATCTGTTTATCTGTTTACAGTCCAGGCCAAAACAACTTGACAACACTGACCTAGTTTACTATTTCACAACTCCTCTGCCCAATGTAATGTTTAATTTCTTGGAAATAAATTTCAGTGTAACTTTTGAATTATGTTCGATGGGTTTTTGTTAGATTAAATACTTTCAACTTTTGAATTATGTTCTATGGGGGTTTTTCTTAGATTAAATACTTTCAATGTGAAAAATTTGTTTGAAAAAAGGGTTATATAAAATTGAAAAAACCTGTGATAAAAATAATACTGGCAAATAGAGTATTTCTATTGCTGAAAAACAGAAAAATTACAAAACCTTAATCTTTTTTTTCTTTGCAAGTACAACTTCCAATTTTTCACTAGGTGTAGGTCTAGCTCACTCATACAATGAAATTAAAATCAAAATAGTGGAAAAATTATAAATTCTATCACAAATTTAATTAGCCCTTAACAAAACAATGTATGCTCATTTAAATATATTATTTTTTTGCTTCATAGTTCAACAGTCGTTTTTCTGACACCTGGAAGAAACAGCATCCCATCAGGAAGCAAATAACACAAGTACAGCTGCTCTACTTGTATTATTTTAAATTTTGTTTGTGGGAGACATTTCTAAATTTACACTGAACCCCCACTAAGCTCTCTGTCTCCTGTATCTATTCTCTAAACAGCACAATTCGGGGACCCATTGACATTGATATTCCAGCAAAGGGTAAATCTTACTGGACCCAGGTTTACCATTACCATGTGATGTTCTGACTCAGTCTTGTTCATAACAGTCTTTTTTTTTTTCCCTCTGAAAACTCCAATTTTTTTCTGCCATCACATCTTAGGCCATGCAGTCTTATCTGACAGTCTGCAACTAGGATCTGTGCTGATGAAGAATTGCACCTCTCCAGGTGTCCCCTCCTAACTTCGGGAAGAGCTCAGTACCAGAGCAGAGGTTTGCCAATGTGCTTCTGATCTGTGAACTCAGGGATCTCAGCAGGACAGATCGATCACACAGTGCTGTGACTGTGTGGGAATTGGATGGGACAGCTGGGCACCTGCACTGTACCCTGCTGAACAGAACCACCGGACTGCCTGTCTTCGTTTTGTGCAAAATAGCTTTGTTTGCTATCTGGTCGATTTATCTTTCCAAAATCCTCTTTCATACCTGGCAATTCCAATCAAGAAAAAACAATGAAAACCTGAGTCAGAAGAGAAAAGCATGGAGAGGCAGACTGCAGTTTTAAATTTAACAGTTTTACTTGTGTGTAGGTGTGTGTCTACACATGTTCTCAGGGGTATCAGACTTCACACACAGCTTTGTCACGGCACAGACATACTAAACATCACAGCTCAAGACATTGGGCTTGCTGGGACTAGATAGCCCCAGTTCTGTAGAATTTAACATGTACAGAAAGTACAGTGACATTTTACTGGTTAAGGTAACTTATGAACATAATTAACACAATGTTTCCTTCTTCAAAAATAATGAAAAATAGAATGAAATCTGACTGAGTAGAGGGGGAAAAAAGAAATAAAGAGAAATGTTTTCCTCAGAGCACAGGAATGTTACAAGATAATGTAATGCTATTAATATCCATTAAGCTCTTTGAAGAAGTGGCTACAAGAAGGGATTTAGCAGAAACTGGAAAGGACACATGGATGCTGTGGGCAAGAGAAAGTTCTAGGCTTGTGAGACAGCATAAAAGTGGATCTGTCGACTGGCAAATACACAAAAGTTAATGATGGGAATTACGCTGGCTAAAAGAAATTAGAGGCCAGTGATGAGAAAAATAGAAAATGTCCAGGGGTTTTGACAAACGAGTATCCTCCATCTTACCTCCAGACATTATCATTACTACTTAGTGAAAAATCAAACAAAATCTATGTTTTCCTTTATTAGCCTCAGGCTGACTGATGTTTGCAGCTTCAAAGTATACTCTAAAAATGTTAAAGCTATTTTTAGAAGCACAGTGACTTCCTGGAACAAATTTTTTGGACAGTTTTCAGACTGCCTTTCATGCAGTTTGAAGTATTCTGTAATATAATTTTGTACCTCATTTTTATAATGTCAAAATTACTGAATGTCATCTGCCTCTTACGCTGAATGCAGCTGAATCCATTAGATAACTCTTTCCCTATAATTAGGATGGAAATGTGATATCTGAAGCTTACTCGGAACCACTTTACATGGGAAAAGCTCAAAAATCCAACAGCTAGATCAATACAGAACAATTCATGGTAAAATTGCTTATTGAGCCATATTCCATAATACAAATGGCCATCTTCTTTCCAAAGAGTTCATTAGATACAGAAACCTGCTACATATGTATACTTCCAGACTATTAATTTCTGCTTGTCTCAAAACCATGTTCATTCAATTAAAAGGTTTATAATTTAGAAACAGTATTCTATCTTTTTATTGATTTTTTTTTACTTTACACTTGGAAATGAAGAAAAGCTGAGCATAGATAACTTATCATTAGAACTATCATGTTAAGCCATGCTAAAATTATTAAGTTCTTAGGGTTTTTTAAGAGATGGTCCAAAAGATAAGGCAGAGTCAGACCAGTTTCCCAGTAGTTCCTTGCTTGTGTATTAGACTTTTCTACAGTGAGCTGTCACTGTCCCAGACCACTGCCATGTATCAGCAAGCTATATTGTTATTTCAAGCACTCATCAGGAGTATGTGTGGGTTGTTGTTTCTCTCCATCACCACATACATATACATAAGAAAGATCAGCTCGTTCATAAAGTAGGATGCATGGAGCAGCTGGGCATAGCAATCCCCACTTCGTGCTCATGTCAGTACCTGAGCTAAGCCTTACAAGATAATGACAATGTGAAGGTAAAGGCCTAAACTGAAAAAGAAACATAAGTAGAACTTCCTAATAAAATTTTCTTCTTATAATGGCTTCAATCCGTTCTAATACTTCCTACAAGTTTGTTATGACCACAAAAAGATGGGAGTGATAGTACCTTCTTTTAAACTGCAATAAGCATATTGCTTCATTTTATTTATCAGAGCTATTGTAATTCAGTGTTAGACAGCACAATATGAAAAAGAATGTAGATTAAAATATAAAAGCATTTGCTGTCCTCGTTTTCAGTACAATTTCAGAGAATCATTTCATCATTTCAGAGAATCATTTAGTAATTTCAGAGAATACTTCCAGTCCCACCTAACTAAACAACAGCAATTTGGACTGCCATCTTTTTGTTCACTTTGTACAAATCAGTTCTTCTAAAGGAAAATTACAACACTTTTGAGTTCCTAATTTTTTCAATGACCTAAGAACAACTGACAAGAGGCAAAATTCATTTATCACAGCTTCAGCCATCTGTAACTAAAGTGAACTAAATTAACTGAATTAAACTATTTCCCTATGCTGCCTGAAGGGAGGGCAATGCAATTCACCCTCAAATGGATGCTAAATGTGTGGATTCACAATTTTTAAAGAAGCTCATCCTTGATGAGCTTTAAACTATCATCCTTGTCAGAATAGACTGCTCTGCTCCAGCCCCATGCCTGCCAGTGCTCCTATCGTTTCTGCCAACAGTTACGTAGCTATACAGTAAACTTCATGGGCAAGCTAAATAGGCTAAAAATTAGCTGTCAAAGGTAAAAATGTTAATTTTATCAAGCTGAATTCTCCATGTGGCTGCACAAAAGGGTCAGTTTGCTTTGGTATGGTGGCAATGTAAGTTCATGCTCAAGTAAAACTGTAGTATCTAGAGAAGAAGATGGGCAGTATGACTCACTTTCCTTTTCTCTCACTCTCTAGTGTGGACTGCTAGGAAATCAATTTGAAGAGATTAGACTAAATGTCATTTATACACAACTAAAATTAAAGAAAATTATTGTTAGTTGTACTGCATGTCAGCCTGAGAGTTGTACTACAGTGCAGTCCTGACTATCAAAGTATTTAAGCCAACAGAACAACATTTCTTAAAATCAAAAGACCAAAAGCAAATGAAACATTTGTATGTATAAACAGAAGAGTAATTTTTCTGTTGTGAAATACTAGCTCCCTCTCATGGTCAGATCATAACACACATCATTAATTCATAAAATCAACATCTGCAAATCCTGTAGGTAAAAAAACAGGATTCACTTATTCACTTTTATCAGCTGCAAGCAGCATTTACAATGTAGTTATCAAAATAAAAACCAAGTACTTCATTACTTTTCCCAAATTCACTTAGTGTTTTGGTGCTGGTTTTGGCTGAGTACTTTTCTTCATAATACCTAGTATAGGGTTATTTTTTGGATTTATGCTGAACAGAGGTCTGATCATTCAGGGATGCCTTGGTTACTACTGAGCAGCACTTGCACAGAGCCAAGACCTTTCCTGTTTCTCAGCCCACCTCTCCAGCAAGCAGGCTGGAGATGCACAAGGAGCTGGGAGGGAACACAGCTGGGACAGCTGACCCCAGCTGACCCCAGAGATATTCCATACTGTACGGTATCACCCTCAGCATCTATAGTGCTGTGGAAAGAAGGAAGGAGGATGGCATTTATCTTCTCAAGTCACTCTTAGTGATGGAGCCCTGCTGAATCACTGAAGGGCTGAATATGTGCCTGCCCATGGGAAATGGTGAATGAATTCCTTGTTTTGCTCTGCTTGAGTGCATGGTGTTCACTTTCCCTATTAAACTGTCTTTATGTCAGCCCACAAGTTTTCTCACTTTCACTCCTCTGACACTCTCCCTCAAATGGCTGGGGAAGAGTGAGTGAGTGGCTGTGCAGGACTGAGCTGTCAGCTGAGACTAAACCACAGCAGCACAGCAGTCCTTCAAATATTCTGTGGTGCAGCAAAGCAGAAGAAAGTTTTTTAAAATGTCCTGTAATTGTAATATGTCATGTAAACGCACAATTTCTAAAAAGACTTTGACAAAGAGTTACTAAAATATTCTTCAAACCTCTGTCAGAACTGTTTAACACTATTCCTGGTAGATAATTAAATGATGCTAATATCTTGGATTTTTGGGAAATAACTAGGAAATCAGAGCAAATAGAAGATTCACATTAGCTCTTCTTTTCCTGGACTTCCATCTCTGGCAAACGTACATCTACACTGGTTATTAGCAGACATGCAGTGACCACATTCAGATGTTATTATCCAACAATTTCTCTGTATAATTTACAGAACTAAATGGCTTCCTATAATGTAGAAGCTAATTTAACTTCATCTATTTTCTATTGACTATGTTTTCAATATTTCTCCTTCATTCATGTACAACACAAAATAACAACATGAAATCAAAATTCACATTAGAACATAGCAGAAGCCATACATAATCTTGAAGTAACGAAACAGTGATTCCTTAATAAATTCAACTGAGGTCTTTGTAAAAGGTCAAACCAGCTGCACTTCAGAAATTAAACTAATGAATAGTTAGAGAAAACACTGTATTAATAAAGACTTTTTCAATTTTTCCCTCTGTACTGGACTGCAAAGAGGTAGAGTGACAGCAGCAGTCCTTGCTACTCTGCAAAATGGGTTATTGCTCTATTAAAAAATGGTGTGACCTCACATTCCTCAGAACACAAAAGATAATTCATCAATACTGAAAAACTCTTTTAAAGAATCTTTCCAAGGAATAGTTGGAATTGCTAGGATAGTTTCAAAGGACACCAATGAAATACAGACAGTACTGTTCTTTGAGAATTTTTATTAAATATCTGTAAACAACATAGCTTAAGTATAGACTCATAAGCAGATAAAAATAGGACAAAAACAAGGTAGCATGGAGTCTTTACATCCCACTTACAGATTTGCACTATGTTTTTTACATATACTAAATAAAAAGTTATCAGAGAACAGTACTGTCTGTAATTCATTAACATCATTTTGAAATACACAAAGTAGGCTAGGAAATTAATTATGTAGCATTTACAGCTGTTAAAGGTAACTTAATTTTGACTAAATTAGCACCAACTTATCTTTGAGCTCCATTCTCATTGAAGTTGTTGAGAAGTCTTTAAAACACTTAAACTAAATTGACAAGTTGTACCTGCTATTTCCTTAAGGAGTGTTGTATGATCATTTTCTGCCAAATTCACAAATCCAACTTGATTTCTGAAGTGATCAATTCCTTGAAAAGACAAATCCACTCTTTTTCCTTTCAGGAGATCATTTACAAAAACCTTGCTGTCAGAAAGAGCACCAGCTGCTCTGTTGAGAGGAGAGAAAAGACCAATGTCAAATGTATTTCTGGTATTAATCATTATATCAATAAATGTAACAAAGATTTTTTAGTACCAATTTATTATCTACTGTGGTACTTTTGCACTAGTTTCTATCATTATCATTATTCTTCTTCTTATTATTATTACCACCTTTTTATAAAGGTAAAGTGGTTCATACACTGTGCTGTAAAACCAAACATATAATAAAAGCAGACTTAGCAGTGGGTGTAATTCCTCAAAAGTGTTTATCTCAGTCCTCAAGGCATCCAGATACTAACATGACAGCGTTTCCATTCACTTTGTGAATCCCATTTAAATAAGATGATTACTCAGAAGTATTTAGTTTTCAATTCTTAAATTAATTTTTTTCCTCTCCTGATATGTCAATTGAACTAGGATTCTTCTTCAGTCAAAGTTAGAACAGTCTTAGCTAAATTATAAACAGATGTAACATTACTTATATAATGATAAAATTACATGGAAATTACAATTAAGCTCACGGAGAACTGTTATTAAAAGAGGTACAATCTCAATTTACATTTACTTTCTGTAAGAGCTATGAGGCACGCACACTATGACTGCAAAAACAAGGTACAAACCTTTTAATAATCATCTTAATTAGCCATATCAAATGTATGTACAATTACATGAAATAATTGTTTTGACCTTAAAGCACTTAAAGTGATTTAGATTCTAAACAAAAACCACATAAACATTTTTAGTGTTTTCTAAAAGGTTTCTCACCTCTCACAGTTCTAATTCTATTCCATTAACCTGAATTTAATCTCTTCCCCAAATCAATGCAGACTTTATAAACGCTAGGTGGCAGTAATAGGTTAAAAATGCTCAGAAGAGGTATTTTTACTTTTTCTGTTTCAGCTGGATGAAAGCAATCACCGATTTCTACAGTAGGTTACATAATTTAATTGAAGCCTGTACAATTCCAAGAATCTCTACACATTCCCATTGTGTTTAACAAGGTGGACTCTTGATCTGAACAGTGCATTAACTGGAACCTAGGCCAAGTTAAGAAACACATGAAGGTTGATTACATGACATAATATTCTTCATTGATAGAGCCCTCCTGTGGTCTTTTTAGAGGGCTTTAAACTATAAGCTAGAAGTACTTTAGCTCCTTTATGACCATTTTAAACACCAGTGTTCCTTGGCGAAGATATTTTACTGTAAGCCTAGTCTCTGTCACTTAGCTACCCTCTTATCACTCTTAGACAAGCCTGTTCCTGTGTCTTCCTTTTGTGCTGTACTTCAAAATCTTTCAAAAACACCATCTAATACTGGTTCTACCTGTCAGATTACTTCACATGTAAGCAGGCATAGATTTATTTACCAACACAAACCTAAAAATTGGTCCAAAACAAGTACAGATATTTCAAATACATTTAGTCAAATTAAGTTAAAGCTTGCAGAGGGCTTTTAAGTATTGACTCATGAATGTATCTAAAACCCATCTCTGGATTTTTTACATTTGAGAACTGGTGCACAGAAAGTCCATGGAAAGCTCTGTTCCTCAGCTGAACATAGATTTATATTTCCATACTGTAGGGTCTGCTGCAAAACTCACTGACCAGCCCAAGCCTACCCGACGAGTTCCATGAAAGGTCAATCCACACAATGCAGTGTGCTTTCAGTTTAGCAAAGTGGTAGCAAAGATCTAGTTTTATTTTTTCTTTTATTTAAAATTTTGCAAACACTAAAATATGTAGAAAAACAGCTGTCATCTCACTCTAGATATCTTGCCTTTTGTATTCCATCAACTACTTCATAACATCTAACAATTGCTTTGTAAGAGTAACACACAAGGACAAACATTTCTACTGAGTCAATAGCTAAAAACACAACAGTGGTATTTCCTTGTTATTCCATACCAAATAGTATTTACAATACCATCTAGTAATTACACTCAGTGCAACTAATCCACAGAGATACCCAAAAAGTTTACAAGCACTTTGGTCTAAAGTCAAAAAAGGAAATTAAAAAAAAAAAGAAAATTAAACAGTATATTCTAAGTGAATACACGCTAGAATTATAGAAGCAGCGCCTGTTATCTTCCTATATTGTTGTAATGTAAATATTGTAGCACTTAAAATTCACCAAGGTTCTTTTTAGAAATTTCTGAGTTTTAATTTTATCACTTGTTTCAAAAAGCGATCTCTCAAACAAAGCCAAACTCAATTCCATCAAATCTGTTATTTGTAATGCAAAGGTGAGATTCACAGAATCTTTAACAGAAAACTAGCAAGAAAAACTTGACACTATAATATCATAATTAGGCATTTAATGCAAAGGCAGGCATTCTGATTTCTAGCACCTGATCCCATGACTATACACAGTTAGCATAGAGTAGAACTTCCTGGCTTGAAGGGAGTGCTGACATGAGTCTTGATTGCTTTCTTTCTTTCTAGTTTCAAAATCTCACATTCTTGATTTCATACAGTCCGACAAAAAAGAGATGTATAGTGTATTCACGAAGGCTAGACCATAGTCAATCAGATAGGAAACTGACATGAGGATTGCAGATCTGGATTCCCTTAGAAAGAGCGGCCTAGAATACAGATCTTCCATTTTCAGGGTGAAAGCTGTATGTACTAAAATACCATACAAAGGGCTTTGTGCTGAATTGAATGTTATGTTTAGCACATTCTTATCACGCATTTGACTTCAAATAGCATTCAACACATTTCATTTCTGTATAGACAGAGGCACTATTGTGCAAACACAGTTGGAAAACTGTAGATATCTAAGTAACTCAATGGATCCAAACCTAAGGATCTGTGAACTCTCAGATGCCCAGTTGACTAGCTGCACTTTGTTTGAGAGATTACTCTCCTCTTACATTACACACAGGTTTGTTTGCCAGCCTGGATCTTGTTTTCTTTCCATTAACCTTTCTTTCTATTAACCTTCTTTCCATTAACCATATCAAAAATTGGTGAAGCAAAAAGAAGGCAAATTCAGCATTTTACTCTTTCAGATCTCCCAGAAAATTAAACAAAAAACACCAGTTATGAATTTTTTTTTTTAAATCTCATTTAAAAGAACATGCAATCTAGAATACCTGAGGATAGCTGAGCTAGAAACCTATAGGAGGCATCTGGCCAGGAAAAGGGTGAATCTCTGAGGAAACTGCTGCTGACTAGAGGACAGTTCTGAGTGCCTGGACTGTAGACTTCTGCTGGGAGAGGCAGAGAAGAACTCTGTAAGTCACTGCTTCGGTGGCAATCAGAGAGTGGAAGCTGAGAAGGGGGTCACATAGTAGCAGAATATCCTGAATTTGAGAATATTTGTTCTGGTATACAGTTTTGGGCTCTTAAAAAATACTCATGAAGAGGCACATGTGCTTTGAGGTACTATCCCATGCTCCTTTTTTTAAAAGTTTGTACTTCAAGCCCTCAAAAAAAAAAATCTCACATAAACAGCTGGTGGTTGTTCTCACCAATTTTCAGGTGCTATCACAGTTTACTCATTAACCAGGCACGCGGAGAGGGGAGGGATTCTACCAGATCTACTATCCTTTGCTTGCCTTTTTATTCTCTGTCCCTGGCTGTCTCTTTCCCCTTAGATTAGACTGTTGATGCTGACAAATTTGCATCTTCACAGTAGAAGACTGGTAGGAGTATAGAGACCTCAAAGATATAGCATTCAAAGAAAACAAGCATGTAAAAAACAAGGCAACTGATTTAGATATACTGATCATTCATTATTTTTATGTGTGTCAAATGCTTTCAGCCAAAATACTTCTACTTATGAGAAGCATGCCCTTGACTACCAAACGGTTCCTACATGCTACCTTGGATTCTTGCTTTCTTATGAGCAATCTGCACTTCAACAGATTTTTAATTCCCCTGTCCCCTATATAAAAACATTGTTTTAAAATAATTACTTTAGCAAACATGACATATGTGCATGCCAGTTCAGTACACAGTAGGTAAAATGCAAGGGAAAACCACATACTTGTTCAGAGCTTATGACATACCATAAGTTATGAAAATGGCCAATATTAAGATTACATTTTAAAAGCAACATGAATTAAACATTCAATAACCATAATAAATTAGGGCTGTGTATGGCACAAAAAAGTGTCAGTTAACCTTGCTAGTCTCTTTATGAACACATTAAGCCAAAATACTAGTATATGCTTAAATTCCACTAAACACCTACATACTAATTTCTTCTTCACTGGATAAATGCATCACTAACATGGTGACATGCAATGAGCCAGGGCGAACCATTGCTTTGGAAAGCCTTTGATCCTTTTGTATTATTGCATCTTGGACAGCCTGAATACTGCCAGTAATCTGGGAAGAAAGACACAGAAACAACAGTTACCCACTACAACAATTACTGTATCCCATCATGCAAGTGAACAAGAAAGCACACAATCTAAAACCAAATGTTTATGTAAAAACCTTTCTAGCGGAAGAAAGTATTATCCTCTGACAAAGTTGTGCTAATTGACCTGAGTGAACCCAAACAGGGTATACAAATAGAATGATTAATAAATCACTGGACAGTCCTCATCACATCTTAATAGAAGCTTCCTCCCATAAGTATTACTAACTGAAGCAAGTTAAGATCATCCAGTTTTACACTGCCAGTAATACCAACAAAAAGTTTCTTCAAGGAATTTCTCTGCCCACTCTGCTAAACATCTGTCTTGCTATGCACAGGTAAATGACTGAAAAGAAACCTGATCTTTGCAGGACTGGGCACATACAAAACCAGAATATTTAGTAAATAATTTGTAGAGATATCTGATTTGCAATTCTGATTATATTATCTGATAGACAGATATAATGTATGTACTCCCTTCAAATGTATTTAGACAAATTTCCTTGCAACAGGTACAGAGTTCTAACTTCATCAATCTTTCTCTTTAAAAATACTTGAATTACATTTTTTATTGAAAATTATTTATATGGTTATACATGCTCTATAAATTATATCCAAAATGTTTACTGTGCTAGACATTATGCTAGTTGTACTGTAGCAATTTAAAAAACAAAATACCAGAAACCTGCAATAATTCTTGAGTACATTAGTGAAAATTAGATCAAGTCAAATAAACCGGACCATCTGACAAAACGAATTACTTCTTTAAGTGAACAATTCAAACAGTGAACAAAAACATTACAGTCAAATCATCTTTGGTTCATAAAGTCTTAAAGAAGCAGGTTGAAAACTCCAATCTCACTTTTTTTTGTTTACTTATTTGAAATTCAGTAGTGAATACTTCACAAATGTACTGTACAGACTTGACTTTTATAAGATAAGCACAAGTAGCTCTTAGGTACAAAAAAAGCATTGATGTATTTTGGTAGCTCTGTTAATCATAAAGAACACAAATTTCCTGGGGAAAAAAATCCTCAATCTAATGGGACTGTTCAGTATTTTCTGACTGAATTTCTTAAAATGAGTTTTGCCATGCAGAAAGTTTTACCCACTAAGCCATAGATATCTAATAGTGTCATATAAATATAATTAAATTATAACTCAAAGGCACCGATGCTAGCAAGGGTAGGGAGAAGGATAGAAGGTAAAAGCTACTTGCCAGAAAAGGGGATATGACATTTACAAAACCACACGTGTCTTAAGTAGTGTAGGATGAATGAAGAAAATTCCACCAACATTTTATCATAAATCATGTTGTAATAAGACCACCCTTTCATCATATGCCAGAACTGATCTCCTCCTGGTTAAATAACAGTTTCATTGTCCCAGATACAGGAGGAATTTAATCCATATTTAAGCAAAGAACTGGTAGATGTGATTCCCACTAAGTACAATGTATTGTCTGAATATTTAAGTTTATAATCTCAATCAAAAAAAAAAAAAAAAAGAAACAAAACTCAAAAATTAAATGTGTCATAGTAATTGCAATTTTATTATTTTCAACTATTGCTTCTAAATTTAATTTGCACCTGTGAGCTGGAAAGGAAAAAATATAAATGTAAGCATACAATCCCTTCAGAGTACAGAAGACAGATGTGGCATTTTGTTATCAAAGAAGTAAAGACCATCCTAGCTCTGAAAGAGATCAATATTACTCAGCATTCAGTTTAGCAGCCAATACCCTACATCCTCATACTCCTACAGCTCCCTTAGTAGTACTTCCACAAAAGCATGCTCTTTCAAGGCTCACTCTTTTATGCAAGCACCAATGACACAAAAACTGTAGGAAATTAATACCTCTGAGATGTCAATTTTTCTGTCCAAAATTGGACAACAGGTTGAAAACCCAAAAAACCCAATGGACAGGCTCATAGCTGCATAAATTCCATTAGAAAATGAAGCTAAAAACCTAAAAAATAATATGGCTTTGGAACACGATTAAGTCCAAAGACAGACAGTTATCAGTTCCAGAGAAAAGTTATTGCTGAATCCATCAAGAAAGTATGAAAAAATCCTGTCCTTTGGATACAGGTAAAATAAAAAGAAGGCTGAGCACATCCTCTCTTTCTCTCTCTCTCTCTCTAAATGACAATGCTCTACACAATCAACATCATTTGGAAAGAAAAAAAAGTTTTCAAATAAGTTTTTCTGAATTTCGGAAACTTGTTTTTCAGATGTTTTCCCTAAAGTTATGCAATCAAAGTCTAACACAACAGCTATTAAACAGGTGTGCCATCAGAATGCATATCACAATTTCAGATTTGCTCTGTTTTCTCCAATAAATCTAAGCTGCAATTAACATTTGAGTGTACTATTCTAATGAAGCAAACTAGGACTTTTCCAATGCTATATAATAAGCTTTGACCCACTGTATATTGCTATTAAACCTGTTATTTACATTACCTTACAAAGTATTGTTTTAGATTTCCACAGCTACCATGCTATTTATTTTTACTTAAATGTCCTAACATAATTCAAAAGCTTTTTCAAGGCTGATCACACTTAACAATTCCTCCCTCTGAATTTTTAAAAAAAAATTCAAAAAACAAAGGCCTCAACTACTGATTTCAAGATCTCCTCTCCCATTACTTGAAGTACATTATTCTGAGGAGTAATAGAATAACACCATTTTGCTTATTACAAGGATACTACTAGTAAGTAAATGTAAAGCTTTAAAGATTTAACAGATCAATAGCAATTATAGTCAAGACTGGAGAACCCTGAAAGGCTAACCTACCAAGTGATAACACATCATGTAAGTTATAACTTTAAAAAAAAAAACCCCAAACAAATAGAAAAAGATACAATGATCATAATCTATTTAACTAGTTTTACACAAATAATAATGCAAAGTTCAATATAAATTCAAAATTAATGGAACAACACTTTTCTAAAGATTCAAAACAATTAAAATGAAAACAAGGAAACTGTTCATTTTCCAAGAGAGACAGCTGATTAAATGTTTCGAAAATATCCTTTACTAAAAAATTTCCTGTGTGTAAAGCTTAAATAACTACAGAAAATACAAATAAATGACACTAATGCTTAAAATACTTCATTGAAATAAAATAAGCTCTTCAAAACATAAAGGTCTCTCATTACCAACTGAAATACTACCAGCAATTACCAGATTCACTCTGGCTATCAAGAAACGGGAATTTAAATGTTGGCTAATATTGCCTATAAAAATTCCAATGTGTATTTTCTAATTTCAGAACAACTTTACCTCTAAGGCAAGTATAAACAAAACTTTCTAACAAAGTCCTGGAGTTCCCAAATGCTCTGAGATTAAATTTAAAGAGTTGTTTCTTTACCTCTGTAAATGATATGGGTAAATAATCACATATAAAAATACGAGCATACTTAAGACCTTCCCAACCAGCTCTTTGGCATAGCAATGATTGTCAGCAGGAATTCTCAATTACCAGATTATATAACCCTACATTATTCTTGCACTTGTTAAATCATGGAATCTGTTAAACAGATCTTGAAGAAAAGATATTTTAAAATGTCACAAAAGATATCCTACAATATTTGTAACAGGCTATCCTGGATCTTATAAAACCAGGCTTTACAATCTCTTCTTCACATATTATGTTTTGAAGAATCAAAGACTGCAGTGTCATTTTCAAACCTATTTTAGTGTTATTTCATATTTTCTTAATCTTATTTACTTTTTCAGAGAACTGATAATACAGATACAGGATGACTTAAAATTCATCTGAGATAGTTTCTGATATTAAAAAAAAAAAGACTAACTAAATTTGCAAATGCTGTTAAACTGTTGGGTTCAACTTTTTAAACATAAGGCACCCACTTTCCTTGTTTCAGACACAAAAGATATCAAAGATGTACCAGAGACAACCTGCAGCATGTAATAAATCATTTTCATTTACTGCCTAAATGAGACAACTTATGTAATTGCAAGGAAATACATTTTCTTAAAGAGCTCTTTGCATTTCCTGAATTCATGTGAACAACATCTCACTAAAACAACAGTTGTTCGAATTTTAAATAAGATGAACCATTTTACTGTAAAATGCTAAACTACAAACTGCCAAATTAAAACAGTACCAGATCCAAATATAAATTTGCATCTATAAAGAAATCTAAAAATACCGCTAGAATTTTTCTTATTACATTTAATAGGAATGTCCCCCTTATTCTACGTGAACAACAAAATAGGCTATACTGAACACTGCAGTGAGGAAATCTCAGAAAGATTCAGTGAAATCCATAAGACTAACAAACTGAATAAAAATGTAAGTATTTTTCCTCCAGTCTTTTTTAGAAAAGCAATTTTACTCACAAAAAATGTTACATAACACAGCATTATTCATTGAATAGACTGCTAATGTTTCTTTAAATGTACCTGAAAAAAAATGTTTTGCACAATAGCAAACACTGTTCTTAGAAAAACATGCAGCCGTTGAAGTAATTCTGGTTATACCATATTAGTATAATAAAGAATATCACCTTTGGATTAGTAATTGGAAGAGAAATGAAATAATTTGGCTGATACTGTTTGTTCTTTTTCTTTTTTCTCTCAATGCCTTCTTCAATTTCCCTTCCAATAGTCCGCTTTCTTTTCTTCTTAATACTTAGTTCAGAAGTTGCATGCACTGAAGAGAAAAAAGAAAAGTCACTTTCAGCACACAGACATTTAAACAAAGACACTCTTAAACAACTGGAGCTGTACTTGAGTCAACTGACTGGAGCATGTCTTCCCACTGACCTGCTCTGCCCATGCTCTGAACTGTCTGCCTGGGATCCAACTCTCACCTGAATTAATGTAGCCATACAAGTGAAGTAGCACACCTGAACTAACAGCCTACACCTCTAAGCAGAGTTTATAAGCTGCTAACACAGACAGACACATGGCTTCCAAACCACCGAGCCTCCATTACTCAACATATGCAGCAGGACAGCAGGCCTGCAAATTGTCCATACTTGAACACGGACATGACTGTAGAGCAGAAGTGCCAATATTAAACTTCAAAAATCCCATGCATTCTGCATTTTTAAATATAAAATGCAGTAATATATAGGATTATCAAAGCTAAAAGTTGTACTAGACTAAGAATAACCAACCAATAGCACCAATGAACCAAATCCAGCCCAGAAGAAAATATCATCCCAGACAGATTTGCTCTCTACCTCCTCCACTCCCAGAGATACCTTCTGATATAGTGAAAGAAATGTGTGTGTCCTCAGTTCTTCCTTTACACATAATTGTGTTTCTCTTGGCTCATTTCCTTGAGCCTTTGCAGACCCTCTCCCACCACAATTCTTGATACATACCCACAAGCCGACCAAGTTGCAGACATCCACTGTCCAATTAGAAATGTACTTCCAGTCTCATGCTGGCAATACACATATTGAAGGACAGCTCACACAACCCATCACCTCAGAAGCTCACATACAGTAATGTGAATTGACATATGAAATTTCTTTATTCTGTGACTCATTGGTCAACAGGATAACAAAAGGCTGAATTCTTAATGTGCTCAGGTACTGCAGGACTGAATAGTAATAAGAGATGCTCTGGACTGTAACCTGTTTTCAGGGAGACTGTTCCATGTGCATGACCCATGTGACCCTGCCAACAGGTAGGACCAAGAACTGAGTGCATGATGTGTCTATGCTTTCACATTACTTCTGTTTAATGTACTTACTAGCACATTCATCTTCAATATCTGTGTCCACAAATGGCATTTCTGCCATTAGAGAATCTATTGAATCAGCAGCACATGGCTCTTCACTCTGTTGTGTCTTTTCATTATTCTCTTTAAAGATTTTCTTTTGCTGTATATTTTCCAGCCCATCTGTAATATATTTAAAATAACACACTGGATCTTAGTTTTTGACATAAACATCTAAGAGACATTACAAATAAGCAACATATGAAGTAAACAGTTCATTAATTATCAGCAAAGAAATATTGACATATAACCCTGCAAGGATCCTCTTCGTCTTTCTCAACAGATCAGTAAAAATACCTCAACATTTTATATGAAATAGCAAAAAATAGAGTTCTGCTTTCTATAATTTAATAACCTATGGTCTCATTTGGTTTAAAGTAAATGAAATTACTGCAAAAAAACCCCAAAATTATAACTGAGCATAAAAAATAATACCTTTCAAACATCACATAATGTTCATTTTAGATAACAGTAACGGCATATGAAACTCAGTGCAGACAAACACTGGCAAATTAATTTCACTGTAAACATACTGAAAATGAGCCATGAAGAAGCAGCAGGAAGGGAATCCTAGCATTCCACATATAACAAAGGGTTCTCAGCTGACTCTACCGTTCAGGAATGAGATGATTACTGTATTCCTGCATCTCCCACTCAGTATAGCATGTTTTAGACATCAATGATTTTAATTTCTTGTTCTAAAAACTGACTTCTAGTATTTAAGCTATAGAAGGAAGTCAATGTAAATGAAAACACATCTTACATGTACAAAGATATACATAAGTTCTACCTTAGCGTAATACCACAATAACAGAATATTTTGAGTTAGACAGGACAGAATAATGTCACCTAACAAGTTTTTTAAAAAGTCTTTCTCCCCAAGATTACTAACTGAGCATGAGTCATTTCCTTATGTCTCCTTCACACTTCTGCATCAGTAAACCCTAACACTGGCATATTAAGTTATACCTTAAAATAAAAGAATAAGCAAACTCTTCTCTAGCATCAAAAAATGGGCATATATCAGGAACCCAGAAATACTCTTTTGGGACAACTCCACAATGGAATTACTGTAGTGGAAGGAGCCGTGTGTTAGACTTGCAGTTTATCGCAGGACAGCTCATTACTACAGACAACACACTTTTCAAAGCTCCTCTCATGACCAGTGCAGATGGCCCAAATCTGGCCTAAGAGATAAATTCAGCAGCAAAAGTGTACACTATGTGCTTAAGGCATGCAAGGATACATATGTATAAAATCGATGTTACAGAACCAGTGTAGGTGATTATCACCCTGAGGAATGTTTCTTACACATATCACTTTATGCTAGGGAAGATAAATAAAAGAACAACCTGATTAAATGCTAATTCACTCCAGGCTAAAGTAGGGAAGCATAAATCACTCTCTGGTTGTAGCCTGACACCTAACTTTATCCCCCCAGGCTATCCAAAGGAAACAAAGTATTTAGATTTGTTCCTCTGCAGACACTAAAGAACTATGCATAACAAACAGATGCTAAAGCAATAATAAAATTACTTAACATTTAGATTAAAGCTCACACACAACATTGTTTCTGGTATCCATGAGTATACAGAAAACCGTGGATCCAAAGAGATCTCAAAGTGAAGGAAAAGACAGAGATCCATGAAACTGACAAACAAGTAGGGGCAGGGGCAGAAAACCTAAAAATTCAGCAGCGCAGAATCATCAGCTGAGAGCAAAACGGGTTTGTTAAGGTAGCATCAGCTACAGAACAAGGACTCACATAAGTCTGAGGGATGTTTATTGCAGATAATGGGTTTCCTTTGCTAGTTCTGCTCAAAAAGCAACATACTTGCACCACTTTGCAAAATGCAGTCTGTTCACAATGGCAAAGGCACAGCTGAAGTAATTAACTATGCACCTTCAGTAAACTCACCTGAATAGGCACTGTGTCTAAATTGTACAGGTCGTGCTTCTACCAAAAAAAAAAACTCCCTCGCTTTTTTGAAAATACTAATTAAAGAAATCAGCAACAAAATTCAAGAGTTGCATCCTACTTACTAATACAACTTGAAAACAAGATTTTTCAGACTTCTTGACATAATGTTGATAATCTGAAGCCTAGAGTACAAAGCTAGCTTCTGTAGGAACTCCTTGACCATCAAGCTGTTATGGGATAACCTCTTTTTTCATAATTGCATGCTTAATTATATTTGCCTGAATTTCATATATGAGTAGGTATATCCATTATTCCTTTATTTGTATTTAAGAGACTGCTGATCTTCACCAGCATTTGCCATCTGTTCCAGCAGAAAAAAAAAGATCACAATACATCTACCTCATAAAGGAGAGACCACAAAAACAAGGAGCAACAAATCCCAGCTGCCTTCTGTACATATTCAGATTATTGTTTCAGATAGAACAATCTTCTATTATTTGACATGTAAGTATCACAGATCACAGTGAGACTTGATCTTCAGGCACTGTTCCCTGTTCACTATGTTTATGTGTTTAACAGATTTATCACAGAATCAATTAGGTTGGAAAAGACCTCTGAGATCATTGAGTCCAACTTATGACTGAATACCACACTGTCAACAAGGTCATGGCACTAACTGCCATGTCCAGTCTTTCCTTAAACAGAACCAGAAACATGACTCCAATGCCTCTCTGAACAGTCTGTTCCAATAGCCAACCACTCTTTCCATGAAGAATTTCTTCCGAATGTCCAACATAAACCTCCCCTGGTGTGGCTTAAGTCTGTGTCCTCTTGTCCTGTTGCTGGTTGCCTGGGAGAAGAGGCCAATCCCCACCTGGGGAGGCTACAGCCTCCTTCCAGGTAGTTGTAGAGAGAGATAAGATCCCCCCTGAGCCTCTTGCTCCAGGATTAACATCCTCAACTGCTCCTCATCAGACTTGTGCTCCAGACCCTTCACCAGTGCCATTGTTCTTCTCTGGACACACTCCAGCAACTCAATGTACTTCCTGAATTGAGGGGCCATGAACTGGACACAAGAGTTGAGGTGTGGCCTCATCAGTGCCAAAACATTGGGACAATCACTGCCCTGGTCCTGCTGGCCACACTATTGCTGATCCGGGCCAGGAAGCAATTGGCCTTCTTGGGCACCTGGGCATTCTGCTGGCTCATGTTTTGTTGACTGTCAAAACAGTACCCCCAGGTCCTTTCCCACTGGGCCACTTTCTAGCCATTCTGTCCCCAGACTTTAGTCCTGCAGGGGATTGTTGTGGCCAAAGTGCAGGACCCAGACTTGGTCTTGCTGAACCTCGTATCACTGAAATCAGCCCATCGATCCAGGTCCTTCTGCAGAGCCTTCCTACCTTCCAGCAGATCAACACTCCAACCCAACTTGATCTTGTCTGTGAATTTGCTAGTAGAAGACTTGATCTCCTCATCCAGATTATCAATAAAGATATTGTACAGGACTGGACCAAACACTGATCCCTGGAGACACGACTGGTGACCAGCTGCCAACTGGATGCAGCACCATTCACTACCTCTCTCTGAGCCTGGCTGTCCAGCCAATTCTTAACCCAGGGAAGAGTGCAGCTGTTCAAGCCATGGGCTGACAGCTTTGCCAGGAGTGTGCTATGGGAGATGGTGTTAAGGCTTTTCTGAAGTCCAGGTAGACAATATCCACAGCCTTATTCTCATCCACCAGGTGGGTCACCTGGTCATAGAAGGAGATCAGGTTGGCCAGGAAGTATCTGTCTCTCCTAAACCTGTGCTGGCGGGGTCTGATCCTTTGGTTGTCCTGCCTGTGCTGTATGATCACACTTAAGATTACCTGCTCCATCACCTTGTTGGGCACTGTGGGCAGGCTGCCAGACCTGTAGTTCCCTAGATTCTTCTTCCAGCATTTCTTGTAGACGAGCATCACACTGGCCAGACTCCAGTTGCCTGGGACCTCCCTGGTTAGCCATGACTGATGATAGATGGATAACGGAGAGAGGCTTAATGAGTTCTTCTGCCAGTTCCTCATCACGCTAGGATGGATCCCATGCAGCTCCATACACTTGTGAGCATCTAAGTGGTTAAGCAGGTTACTATTTCCTCCTGGATTACAGGGGGTCAATTCTGCTTCTCCTGTCTGTCTACCAGTTCAGCAGGGGCCAGCTGCCCTGAGGATAACAAGTTTTTCTGTTGAAAACTGAGGCAAAGAAGGAGTTAAGTACCTCAGCCTTTTCCTCGTCTTTGGTGACTATAATCCCCTCCATGCCCAATAAAGAATGGAGGTTTCCTTGGCCCCCTTTTGTTATGAATGTGTTTATAAAAACACTTTTCATTTTCCCCAATAAAAGTAGCCAGAGTAAGTTCTAACTGAGCTGTCAGCTCTCTAACTTTCTCTCTACACGACCTAACAACACCCTGAAATACTTCTGAATTGCCTAGCCCTTCTACCAAAGGTGATACACCCTCTGTTTTTCCCCCAGGTTCCTGTGAAAGCTCCCAGCTCAGCCAGGCTAGTCTTCTTCCCTACCAGCCTGTCTTTCAGCACACAGGGACTGCCTGCTCCCACACCTCCAAGATTTCTTTCTTAAAGTATGTCAAGTCTTCCTGGCCCCCTTTGTTTTTAAGAGCTGCTTCCCAAGGGACTCTCCAAATCAGTGTCCTGAATAGGCCAAAGTCTGTCCTCTCAAAGTCCAAGACAGAGGTTTTGTTGATGCCCCTCCTTACTTCAGCAAGTACTGAAAATTCTTATCACATTGTGGTCGCTCTGCCCAAAGCAGCCTCTGACCACCACATCTCCCACCAGCCCTTCCCTGTTCATAAAAAGCAGGTCTAGCAGGACACTGTCCCTGTAGGCTCCCTCACCAGCTGTGTCAGGAAGTTATCTTCCAAATGCTCTAGGAACCTCCTGGACTGACTCCTTTCCACTGTTAGGTCTCCAGCAGACACTGGCAGGTTAAAGTCTCCCACAAGAACAAGGTCTAGTGATGACAAAACATCAGCCAGCTGCCTACAGAATATTCCATCTGCCTCTTTATCCTGGTTGAATGGTCTGTGGTGGATTCCCACCAGGATATCTGGCTTACCAGCCTTTGCCCTGATTCTCAGCCCTAGGCACTCAGTCTTATCACCACTATCCCCAAGCTCTGTGCAGTTAAAGCACTCCCTGAGGTACAGAGGCACCCTATTCTTCCTTGCCTATCTCCTTGAAGAGCTTGTAGCCACCTGCTGCAGCACTCCAGTCATGACAGTCACCCCACCACATTTACCTGATGGCAACTATATCACAGCTTTCCTGCTGCACGATGGCCTCTGGTTCCTCCTGTTTCTTACCCACACCGCCTACATTGGTGTCGATGCACTTCAGCTGGGCTACTGATTTCATCCCTAACTCTGGCATGCAGCCCCTAGGCTCATCCCTAGTGAGCCTGTCTCATCCCCTTCCCCCTTCACACCTTCTCAGTCAGCCCTGCCAACTCATTGTTTAGAAGACTTTTGCCCCTGTTAGACAGGTGAACACCATCTGCAGGCCTGGTGCCACATAATCTCCCCATGATAAAAAAACAAACAAACAAACAAAAAACAAACATAAAAACAAAACCAAAAAAAACCAAATTCCACAAATGGCACCATCTTAAAGCCACTTGTTGATCACATGGGTTTTCCTGTTCTTTCTGGCATTCTCTGATACCAAAGGAATCGAGGAAAACATCACCTGTGTTCCTGTCCCTTAAACAAGACAACCCAGTGCCTTGAACTCCTGCTTCATTACCCTGGTACATCTCTCATCAACCTTATCACTGTCAACCTGGACAGCCAGCAGAGGGTTGTAACCAGTGGGCAGAATTAGCTCAGGGAGTCTCTTGGTAATATCCCTTACCTGGGCCACAGGAAGTCATCAGACTTTCCTGTAGAATGAGTCCAACCAGCATACAGAGCCCTCAGTGCCCCTCCGAAGCAAGTCATCCACTACAGCTATCCTTCGTTTTTTTTCTTAATAAGTGCATTTGTGATCTGCCTGGTTGACTGCATTAGTCCGGAAGACCCTCCAGATAAACCTTCTCCACCGTTGTCTGCCTGACCCTCAAGATCCAGAGCCTCCTACCTATTCTGTAAGAACACCTAGGGAAGCAAGGGATGCCAGGAGCAGATTCTTCCACCTCTGAGAAGGGACCTTTTTCCATTTGCCCCATCTGCCTGATGGCAAGAGGGATGGGGCTCCTTGACTCTTGCCGAGCTTTCACTCACTGCTTTCTATTCATACTTTCAACAACAAATAAATCCTTTAGAATCAGTTTAACTGAGAGCTGCTGTAGAAGTAGATAGTCTTAGTGTCGATGCATTTTGAACCTCCAGTACTGGCACTACAGTTAACATAGCTAAGGAATTACTACTACTACTAACAATAATAATAATAATAATAAAAGCTTCTCGTGGAAAAATGGCAGGGTTAGCATTCAGCCAGGTCACATACACAGGGAACTAAGAAGAAAAGGAGTAGTAGTGAACTTAGGGAGTAAAAAGGTAGATTTAGTGTTCAGTCAGGTCGGATGTATACACTGTCGGCAAGCCTAGGGACTGAGCGGGGCAGTCAGGAAAGCACCAGAGCCTTATGAATAAGAGCCCTACTTAAAAATTAATAACTTAATAATTAAGTTGAAAAGTTTTCCCTACGCCCCAGCGCGCCCCGCACGCCCCAGCGACCGCCCGCAGCCCAGGGGGAGACGGGCGCGGGGTCTCGCCTGCCCTGCCCTGCCCGCTGCCTCCCGCCGCTGCCCCGCCGCCGCTCACCGCGCTCCGGGGCCGCGCTCCGGGCATCGCCTCCGACCCCTGCCGACTCCGCGGCTGCCTCCGCCGGCCGCAGCGCCATGGGCACGGCCCGCCGGCCGAGCAGGGCTCGGGCCGCCGCCGAGCACAGCGAGGGGAGAAGCCGCCGCAGCAGCGGCCGCATGCTCGGCCGGGGGGAACAGCGCTGCCCGCCGGGAAGCCGCGGGGCCGGAGCGCGTCTGACGGAGCCGCCGCGCCCCTCGGGGAAGCGGCGGGGGAACGGGCCCGTGCGGCCGCGGAACTACAGCTCCCAGCACGCTCCGCGGCGGGCACGGCGGGAGGCCCTGCCCTCAGCCTGGGCAGCGCGCGCGCCGTGCGGCGGGGCCGCAGCCCGCGCTCGGTGTCGCAGCGAGAAGTGGCTGCCCCAGCGCCCGCCCCCGCGCGGGGCTGCAGCCAGCGGGATGTGGCTTCCCTCAGAATAACCGGCTGTGGCTCAGGGCGGCAAAGCGATATTTAACAGTGATTTAGCAGCGGAGAATGGACAGTCTTGCTCTGAATGTGCTCTGCTTCACGCAGCCCCGGCCACAGTGACCGCCGGCGCTAAGGGCTCTGCTCTGATTGTATATTCTCGTGTTGGGAATGGCCTCAAGGGTAATAAATTGCATAAAGAATAGAAATTTTGAGTTTCCCTGAAGTTATCGAATAGACCTTAAAAACTGACTGGCAAAGAAAGATAAAAGGATGTAAAGGTATGCGCACAGGGTTACAAGAGTGGCTGGAACCGGTGGAGAGACAGATAAAAAGGGCTGTGTATGGGAGAGGCTGCTTGTCCGAAGGAAGGAAGGGGAGACGGTCTTTTCCTGCGTAAATAGACTTGGTGCCTCTTGGAAGCCAAATCCTGTCAGGGCGTTGGGTGGGAGAAGCCAAGCTAAATGCCACCTGGTGCTTTCGCTACTTGCTTTATCCATGTAAACCGGATCTGAGGGAGCAGGTGCTATATATGCAGATAAAGATTCCTACTTTCATTTGTGAACACAAAGTAAGGGGTCGTGTCACAACACATCAGTAGATGTTAGTTGTAAATTGTCATAAGGCTGAACTCTTGCATTTTTAATTTTGGCAACCAGCCTACTGTTGAGCCTCAAGTTGTTGGCTAACAAGCCCGTAAATTCCTTACAATATATTTCCACAAAAGTGGTGGCTAGCAAGTCCTTAATTTTATACCATACACTTTATTATGTTCTCAACTTGCAAAACAAACCACACAAAGGTGCTGTCTCAGGAGGCACAACGCAATTCCATGAGCTCCATACACCCACAGCAAAGTTCGGTATGGGAGGTAGAATATGACAGGCCGTGGCTATGCTCTGCCAGGCAGAGCAAGCGGGGAGAGAAATAAAGAAAGAAAAGGGAAGGAGAGTACAAAGAATATCACCAGTCCTCAGAGCCTGCACTGGTCCTGCTGTGTTGGAGGGGCTGGAGCTGGGATCGCAAGAAAGAAAGTGAAAGAGAGGGAAAAGAGCAGGAGAGGGCCTGACCTGCTTTCTTTTCTAGATAACCTGGTGCAAGCCTCTTACATAAACCAGATCTTTTGCCCTGTTTTGTTGATGCGTGCACAGCCAGCCCTTGGAGCCCTCCCACAGGAGGTGAGTGGGGACAGGGACACTGAGCACAAGTGTCAAGGTGAAGCAGGAAGTTGGGTCAGAACAGTTCTGCCCCACCTCTACATCTTTGGATCACACCTTTCCCATTGTAACAGTCACAATGTTTGAGAAAAAAAATGCTTATGTCCATTTCTTCAGGGATGGCAAAAGCAAATAAATAAAATAGGATGGTTGGAGGAAACTGCTGGAGGTTAGAAGCTGGTTGAAAGAAGAGCGAAAAATGAAGCCAGTTCCTGTATTTGACTGCTCCTTTTACCGTTATTTTGATCCATTTTGAGCTGTGTTTGCCTTTCACATAGAATTTTTATTTGATTTCCATAGTTCTGTAGAGGCCAAAGGTTGGATGTGATGCAGAAGTCTGAGTTCTGTGGGATCCAAGAGAAGCTTTTGGATGAGTCTGCTGGTAATTTTTATTTCCATTTCATTTGAATATCAGCTATCATTAGGAGACTAAATGCATAAGTGGTCATGTCTTCCTAGCCTGTTTCCATTGTCAAGTACAATACTTCCATCAAACTTTGATTCTAGAGAGTTATCGATCAAATACTGGAAGAAAACATTTTTGGAATGAAGTATCTTTTTGTAAATATGAATTTTAAAAGCAATTTGGATCTGAAACTTTTCCAAATCAATTCATTAAGTTTTTTTCAGAAATCTTCAGCGAGAAAACTTTAGGAAAAAGCACTTCTGACAGGGGAGTCCAAATTAAGGTAGCATTTAATTAGTGCTCTTAACAAATGAAAATGCAGTGCATTTTTATGGAGCTAAAATTGTCTGTAACCAGCACCCACTAGCCTGGCATTAAAATGATGCCTGTAGCTGTATTCTTTGGTCACACGACTTGCCTAAATATACTACCTCCAGGATGAGAGGAAGTGAGAAATGAAAAGTACCTCAGCTAGAGCTGGTAGCAGTTCCCATGAATTGTCCCTACAAATCACAAAAGTGGTGTTTGAGAGAAATGTTCAGTTGAGGACTAGAAATATGAAGTAACAAGTTGTGATTTTTCTGCCTGCCCAAAATCTGCACAAGTTTTACCGAGGTCACTGACCTGGTGCCTGGCAGAAACTGCTTTTCATTACTGCTTAGGTTTGGCCTGAAGCCAGCACTTTATCAATTTTCTGTGGCCTTGCCTTTATTAAAGAAAGTTTCTGATTAACCTCTCAGCAGTACAGTTGTCCCTTCAAAGGAAAAAAATAATCACATTATGACAGCTGAGTGACGCTGGCAGAAAGAGGAAGCAGGGTCAGCTCTGTGGTTATATTTGCTTACACAACTGCATTGCCAGTGCCTGTTAGCCTCTTACCTACCTTTCCTTCTCTTATCCACCCACTAATTTCAGGCAAATTCTGTAGAGTGTTAGAGGATTCAGAGGTATGATATTCCCACACCTTTCCTGAAAGTGGGTAGTTATGGGAGAAAAGAAAGATCCATTTTGCTCCCAAATGAGGGAAAGAAGAAATAGTGCTGTGTGTCTTTTTTTCCAAGAGTGGCTGTCCATGAGTATTGGCCAGCTCCTTACACTGTAGCTCATTGCACATATTATCAATACATATTATGTCTTATCTTAGTCAAGCAGGAGATACGGAGGAGCTATGAGCTAGGAGTATTTGGGGCATGACTCACTGAGGGAAGTTGGGTAGTAAAAAGGCAGGAACGGGATATGTTGCAGGGAGCCTAGAGGAGACATTGGGATATTGTATAGGACATGGGAGGCAGTTGAAGGTATTGTAATGAGAGGGCATGGAAGCTGTAGGGGAAGCTTGGGTTGTTGTGATAAGAAGGGAGTACGTAACTGATACAAAACAAGCCTTCATTACTGTTGCTGCTGATGCAGCATCTTGTATTCTGACAAGTAAAGAAGAATAACAGACCGTGACTTGATAGTAATAAGAGATTTGTCAGAGAAACAAAGAAAAGTTTGAGCTGCAGTACTACGGATGATGGAAAATGAGAGGTAGAGGAGTGCCTAGGATAAGGTAATTGAATGGAAAGGTCAAAAAGCAAGTAGTCTGGAGTGTCTACAATAACTGGTATAAAAGGAAGACGTGCATGAAGATGCTATCAGATATAGTTAATAAATAGAGAGTGTATTTGATTGACATCTGACATGAAAAAATAATATAAATGGATATTTTCATGACCTGTTGATCACAGGCAGTTCATTTACATTTCAGGAGGAGGGAACAGAACAGCAGAAAGCAGCTGATAAATTAACTGCTTACCAAGAGCAGCAGTTCTTCACTTGCTACCCTCTGGATAGCAACCTGTTATGAGGGACATGGGCTAAGGATCAGCATAGACAAACAAATGCTGTTAATGTCAATGTAGTATTTCAGACACTTCCAGGTTTTTCCAGGATTTTTGAGGAATGACATCTGTTGGTGCAGAAAGGATTCACCTTAACAAAATGGGACCAGAATGTCTTTGCCAACTGACTTACCACCCTCATAAGGATGGTTTTAAGGTAGGTTCAGTTGAAGGATGGAGAAGCAGTCCCATCAGACCTAAGATGGAAGAGAACTGGAAGACAACTGAAGAGCTAAAAGCTGGTATGCTGACAGAGAGGTAATGGTAGATAATGGGAAAGCAGGTGCAGGATAGCATGATGGCAGAGATTGCCTGGCATTTAGGGGGACCCCAATAGGCTGGAAAAGTGGAACAGTACATGCTTGCTACCTGATATTCAACAAAGACAATTGTACAACCTTGCATCTAGTACCTGATGGGTTTTGGCAAAATGGCTGGATGCACATCTGCACTAACTTAATGGTCCATGATATATTTTACCAACTTGGACTATTCACTAGGTGTTATTGTTAGATGTAATCTCTAGCCTGAACTCCTACAGAATTTGCTCCCTGAGCATAGTATTTATTATACCTAATTTATTGCTTTACCCATTCGCCTTGCAAATTTTATCTCATTGGCTAGTTTTAATATTTCCTCTTAAATACTTCAAGCAGCAGACATATAATATGCTTTCCCAATCTATGTTTTTCCTGATTTAATCTTCCTTTCACTTTTCAACACAGAAAATCCACCAGAAATCATGTAGGTAAATCCTCATTCTCCACCAGAGTTATGTCATCCTTTTCTAGTCAACAAAATCAGTCTTCCCTATGTTGCTCCATCGTCGGGTTGACAGAAGCTATTAATTTCTTTAGTTTTGTCTCAGAAGCACAAATTCCATCACTGTGATATACATCACTACATTTTCCAGAATGTGAGGTAATTCAAATACAAATAATAAAATGAAACATCTCCAGTAGTTCATCTTTTGTCAGTAGATAGCTTTCTTTTTCTTTTTTTTTTTTTAATATTTATATACATGCAAACAAAACCATAATATAGAAAATAACTCTAAGTGATTTTGACTACCACAATCTTGTTTTTCTGATTATTGACAAATATAATGTGCATTTAAGCAAAAGGTTGCCTGTCCTGGAGACCAGTCAGCAGGGTGAAGACAACATTCTGTTTGATAGGAAACCTTCACAATTCTGCAATATGAGAGACTGTACACTGAAATAAAAGCAGATATCACTTTTTAGAACTTCATTAAACCCACTTCACTTTTTAGCTCTAGAGGTCAAGTTAGGTTTGATCTGGAATGTCCAGTTTCCTGGAGCTGTTCTTTTTTTCTGACT